CCGACCTTGACTTGGTCAAGGAAAAAAGCTATAATAGCTAGGGAGGGACAAATTTACAGACCGGGGAATTTTGATATCCCAGCCTCGAGGTAGCTCAACATTATTAAAAAATTTGGTCATTTGATTGGTTAAATAGACGACGATGGGATTAGGGCGTGAAGCTTGCACGAGGGGAGATACTTCATTCTTCTTAATGTCGGTAGCTACCGCCATTGCTGAAGACGTGCTTAAAGGGGTCAGGAGGGATAATGTCACTGAGGGTTATCCTACGGGTTCGGAGTGCGAAGAATAATGAGTTAAGGAGCTACTTTCTAAGGGCGAGCTGCTCTAGTCATGCGTAGGCGGAGCAAAGTCCAGAAAATAAATTAAATAAAAATACAAATAAAAGAGAATTGAGAAAAGGGAAGAGATGAAAAAGGAAGTAAGATTGTACGAATGAAGTTGTGTAACTCTAAATGCAATTAATCGAGATAAAACTTACCAATGAAACCATGCGATATGTTGAAAGAATGTGCAAATGGGTACCAATGTGATGAAGTTTCACCGGAAGATGCTGAGGAGTGCTCTGGAATTTTCAAGGTCCAAGGCAAAAAGTGAGACGCAAAATCTAAGAGCATGTTTTATAGAGGAGGGGGAGTGGATTACCTATACATCGTTGGATGGTGACGATGTGTACGGTGGAGATGTTGGCAGATGAATGGACGTGGACGCCAAAGGTCAGGCAATCGGGGTTGCCAGTTGGAAGCAGAAGAAGAAGTTTGCGGAGTAAGCCTCTTGGCATGATGTCCAAACCCCGAGGGCACATGCTTGGTAGGATACAGTAGAAAGTAAGCAGGAGATGTAATATCCCATTCAGTAATTAATAAAAATAATTATTTTAGTTTCGAGTTTGAACTAAATTACTTTTATTAATAATGCTCGTTTCTAGTTGAGAGTCCAGTTATTAAATTATAAGTTATAAGTTTGAATTTAAGTTGAAAGTATTCTCGGTTAAATTTTATATAGTAATCGAGCCAGTTCATTAAGTAATTCCGGTCCGTTTATTTTTAGAATTTGATTTTATTATAGGGATTAATTATTTCGAATTGTTTGATAAGTTTATGATTAATTTGACATGAGTGTCTAATTTAATCATTTGAGTAAAATAATTTATTTAGAAATTTTAGTCTATTTAAATTATTAAGAGAGAAATATGAAGGTTTTAAAATTTTTGGGTTTTTCGGTTTTCGATTGTAGTCGGAATTGAAGTCCGATTTCACTTCCAGAAAAT